ACTATTATGACATTCATTTTAGTATGTTGGTTATAACTACAGTTGGTTTTTATAAACTAGGATGTTTTTTTTTTAGGTGATACATTCAAAAGCATTTTTTTTATTTAGCTAATAATTATATTTTTGGAGTTATCTTTTGTAAGTTGTTTAGCATGCTATTTATATCATTTGATAGTTTATCTTTATCATTTTTTATAATGGTATACAAGCTATTAAATGTTATTGGATGGTTAATCCTATATCTTTATATTTTTATAATATTAGTGGTTCCTATCCTATCCTACTTTATTAGATGTTAACATATTTAGAATACTTTTGTGTTTTAATATAAGATTTCTTTATTGATAATTTGTTGTCTTTAAGAATTTTTTTTATGACTTTGATATTATCCATTATATTCATCTTTGGTTTTGGTCGATATAAGTAAATTAGTTTCAGGACTTCATGTGTTGGGGAGTGAGGGATCCCCAACTATGCCTCAACGGTTAACACTCTACTCATGCTCTAGGTGCATCTCTAAAACTCCATCTCCTTACCCTCCCTGTAGCACACTTGAATTTGGAGCCAAACTCTAAGCCTATTGCACTACGAAATGAGGGTCTAATATAATTCCATAAGCAATAACTCCCCATATCCAGCACTTGCATGCAAAAAGGTGGCAGATAGTGTTTAGCATGATTATAGTATACCGGTGGCCTAATGTGAAGAAGAGGGTACTCCATTGACTAGAGCAGTGTGGAGCTTGGGCTTAGACCCAAGCCGAACAATAGAAAAAAGAGCGACACAGTCCAGCGAGAGCTAAACTAATGTCTCAGGTGGTCGGACATGCGTTCTAACCATAGTTTGGAACCAATCTGTAGCGCATGTGATCATGGGACTCTTTCATCAAGCAATTGCCCCTTTTTCAGTTGGCTTAAGGGGAGAAAGATAAAATGTGCTACATGTGGTATCAGAGCAAATGGCACAAGTTTGATTCCCATTGATTAGTGGCTACTTAAAAATATAATATACCCTTGAGCAAGGTCTATTCCTACCCCTAAATTTGAAATCGTATGTATTGAGCATTCATACATACGTCCTTCCTTTTATGTGGAGTATCTACGTACGAAGGTATCCACCGTGGGACTGTGGTACGGGTGGATGACTATGCCTCACATGGAATAGCTGATTTACACAATGGAAGGATTGTGTGAGACACAAAATCCCTAGGCCCCAAAGTGGAGCCAAAAGGGTGCCACGTGGTAGTGGCCAAAGCGAAAGCTAAACGAGCGTAACACGTTTGGACTAAAAGCTTCGACTTGAAAAGGTCGAGAGTGGGAGTGGAACTCCCAACGAAGTGCTCGAAGAATGAGCACGAAGCGAGCCTTAAGCGAGGCTCCAAAAAGGGACCCAAAAGGACCAACACATGACATGTGGAAGTGTCCGAGAAGGACCCCAAGATGGAGTCCGAGATGGACCCGAGATGGAGTCCGAGATGGACCCGAGATGGAGTCTGAGATGGAGTCCGAGATGGACCTGAGATGGAGTCCGAGATGGAGTCCGAGATGGACCCGAGATGGAGTCCGAGATGGACCTGAGATGGAGTCCAAGATGGAGTCTGAGATGGACCCGAGATGGAGTCCGAGATGGAGTCCGAGATGGACCCGAGATGGAGTCCGAGATGGAGTCCGAGATGGATCCGAGATGGAGTCTGAGATGGACCCGAGACTGAGGCCGAGAACGAGTCTGAGTCCAAAACCGGGACCGAGACCGAGTCCGAGTCCAAGTCCAAATACTAATACAGGCAGTTGGGTGAAAGCCCAAAGCGATCGTCCCCCCGGGGGGGGGGCCTGCGAGGGGTTCCAAAAGTATAGTAGGGAGAGTGTAAGGGTTGGAGCCCAGTGGAGCCAATTTGGCCAGGAAAGGCCAGTTTGGCCCAAGAAAGGCCAGTTGGGCCCAGGAAGGCCATACCCAGTGTTGGGTGATGAGCTGAACACTAGGAAGTCCAAGACTAGAGTGAATACGGACCGACAAGCGGGGTAGCTTGGTGAAGTGTTCAAGAGCCGGCTCTAGCTCCCCCGGAAGATCGAATGGTCAATGCTCCCAGTCCAAGTGTGGGTGGTGGCACTACCTACTTGGATACCAGGCGTGGCTCAACAGAACCTCGCTCTAAGCCCATGGCTAGAGCACCCAAAGGCGGAAGGCGGGGAGAGTACCCATGAGGCCTGCGTAGGGCCACGGTGTTCCGAAATGGTGTCCCAAAGTCCCAGACTGTGGAAAGGAAGAGGAGTAGCCCTCTGGTGTGGTGACCAAGAACACAGTCACACAATGAGGAAGTCCTAGAGGATAGTGGGACTTAGTGGTCGAGCCGGTGGGCCTTGATCCGGTGGTGGTGTTGGCGAACACAGCCAAGGACAAAAAGGGACTTGATGAGGACCGGAACGGAGATATTGGGGAAGGTTATTCCCCATGTCTGTAGGCATCCTAAGGATGTTAAGGAGTGGATCTGGGATGATCACTCATGGACGGATGACCCAGTCTTTGAGAGACGGGATTGGAATGCAGGTGGTGTTGGACCACCAGTGTGACCAAGGTAAATGGGCATGGCCTTAGCGTAACGGGCCGATACGTCAGTGGTACCTTGGGGTGTCGATCATGGGATCGGACACGTGGAGCACTTGGACTAAGTGCAAAGGCTGAGTGGCGTGGATGCCATTCGCGGGGCTAGCAAGCCCCAAGTTCTGAATGGGACTTATGAAGTTTGTGAATGAGACTCCTCAAAGTGGTCGGAGGTGCAGTTAAGTGACTAAAGTAGAATGGAAAAATTAGTCACTTACAGATTGGTAGATTTAGTGCGAAAATGGAGGTGCTGGTTCCTCTTGGCTCAATAAGGGTTGTAATTAATAGTCAATAAAGACATTGACATCTATAAAGGGGGGGGGGGGGGGGTGAATGTAGCGCATGTGATCATGGGGATATACTGTCACCGTGGATCCTTGGAACCTTGGGGGATAAATGAGGATAAAATAACCATTAAGGGCTCTTTTATCAAGCAATTGCCCCTTTTCCAGTTGGCTTAATGGAAGAGAGATAAGGTGCACTACACAACCCTCCTATGGATTGAATCTGTGCATCGAAGTGCCAAAGTCAGTCTACCAAAACTGACTTAAGTATTAACGAACGAGAGAAGTGAAACTTTGATTTATAGAAAGATATTACTTTATTGATTTGCAAGATTTATTACAAGATTTACAAAAGCTAGTCTTTATTATAATTTTCATACTCTATGACAGACTTACAAGCATATATAAGATTCCTAAAAGGCTCCCAAGTTGATTCATAAGTTGGGTAACCTTTCCATTTAACGCAATATTCCTTCATACGATCCCGTCTCCAGAACCAAGAATCCAAGATAATTTCAGCTTCATACTCAGGTTCACCATCTGCAACTTTTGGTGGTGGACGAATTTCCCTTGGACATGCAACATTTATAGTGTAAGGAGCCAATAATTTGGTATGAAATACATTATGAACATTGGATATTTCTGCAGGAAAATCCAACTGATAGGATATATCACTAATTTGTTTCAAAACCTAGGGTCTAACATATTTTGGTAACAGCTTCTGAAACAAAGATCCCTTAATATTCAAGGTCTGGGAAGATAGCCACACCTGATCTCCTACTTGATAGGATACATCCTGACGATACTGATCTTTATCATGTTGATACTTATCTTGAGCTTTGCTTATTGCCTCAGTAGCTCTAAGCCAACCTTGATGTAATTGCTTCGCATAAGTTGTAATGGCCGAGACCAACACTTCTATACACTCACAAATCATTAAAATAGTGCCAAAATATTTAAACATATTCTAAATATATCCATTATCCCATATTGCACCCAAACTTGCCTCAGACTAACTCACAATCCTGATACCAATAACTTATTTTCAGATAAGAATTTTTTTTACACAACCACATTAATATCTGAGTGCTGCCTAAGCATCTCTGAACGCTTGCTTCGCTTCATCTCTTCAACAAGCCACATTACCCCGTCTCTGATGCCAGTCCTGAGACAGAGCTTTCGACGTGATAAAAGAAAACAAATCATGCAAAGAGATCAAAGGTGTACCCATCATAAGCAGAGATTTCTTTCACAAACGAAGGTCTCTCGTCGATTTCTTTCAAGTCCAAGAATGTGGTGAGTTCTTCCGCTGTTACAGCTCCTTGTACGTCCTGGACAGCAGGAAGAACTTAGAAGAAAATCGAACAAAAGTATGTAGGCACTTGCCTGTTTGTTGGCAAAAATGAGCAATGGTGCGTCTTGCAAATCCTTGTGCCTCAGAGCTTTCTCTACAACATAACGAAAGAAAAATCCTTCTAAGAAAGAAAGAATGGAAAGGGAACGAAGAAAGCTTATATATAACGTACCAAGAGCAGACTTTGCGTCGTCAAATCGAGCATGGTTTGCAGCATCCACGACGAAAACAATCGCATGAGCTTCTTCGAAATATTTCTCCCAGATCGTGCGCAAGCCTAGCTGCATTTCACACGAAAAATCACATCCAAGCAGATAAACAATGCGAAAACCAAAGTTCTTCGCGACACCGACCTGTCCTCCTAGATCCCAAAAAATAAGCTTCGACTTGTAAGCTTCCACACGGCCGATATTGAGGCCGACAGTAGGGACGATTCGATCCGGCGGGAGGCCCTCGAAATCCGAGTAGATAGTCTTAAGCTTCTCCAGCAATGTCTAGATCGCGAAAGAAGCAAAGAATTCAGCTCAGATTCGAGATCGCGAGCACGACAAGTGAAAGAATCAGGGTTCTAGGAGAGCTTACAGTCTTCCCCGCCTTGTCAATGCCGAGGATCAAAACGTGGAACTCCGCCTTGCTGAAGAGATACTTCCACAATCCATACAAGAGCGAGAACATCCTGTCTCGCACCTCGATCGATCGATCGCTTCGCGGAGCTCCCAACCTAAGCCATGGCTACCGTATAAGAAATGCTAGATTTTGCGCCCACGGGGCCCAAATTTGCCCTAAACTTTGCCCTAGAAGTAAAAAGAAAGCGACATTAGGGTTCTTGGAGGGAGGATGGATGTGCTCAAGGATCCCTTCCGCGATCTCAAGGAAGTGCTGCTCAGGGCGAAATCGCTGCCGCCATACACCAAGAAGGATGTGGATACGTTCATCGCCTCGGATCCAGTCTACGGGCCTCAGGTAAGATTTTTCGATCGAAATGCCACCGATTCTACCCCGATCGATCCTCCGCAGCTCCGAAAGATGAATGACGCGAAGCTATTCTGCTACGCCGGCACTGCCGGAGGCGCTGTTGGAACTGGATTCATGTCTCACGCGCTCGGCAAGCAACCACGAAGTAAAGTTATCCTTCGATGGAAAAATTGATTCATTGGTGTTCTATCTTTTTCTCCGCAGTCACTGCAATGGCGATTCTTGGAGGGGGATTCGTCGGCATGGCGCTGGGAGGCGAGCTAGCAAACTTCGCGCTGGGTCTTTACAAATTCAAGCGAACGGAGCCAAAGAAGAAGTTCCTCGATTGGTGGGAGAAGCAAAACCGATGAGAGGCATCGGAGGTATGAAGCTAGTTCTCTCGATCGAACTTGCTTTCTCTTTTCTTTTCTTCTCTTACGTCGAATAATGCTGGACATACTTTTCTTGTCTTTGATCACAGCTCCAATAAGTTTCTTCGCGTACTTTGTAGGATCTCGCGAGTTAGAACATAAGCTGCGCCATTGCTCTCGTCCAGCTCGATCATTTCGCTCTCGTGGACAGTGCTGCCACTGCTGGGACCTCGGATCAAACAGGTGAAATCCTGGATCTTTGGAACAAAAGGCATGGTCTGGACGAGTTCTTTGGCTTCGACAAAGTGTCCAGCTCTAGACAGAAGATCAACCATGCAGCTAAAGTGTTCCTTGCGAACATCAAAGCCGTGATCCAGTCTCATCGATCGAAAGTAGCTCAAGCCTCGATCAACGTCGCCGGCATGGCTACAACCGAGAAGAACACACAGGAAGGAAGCTCCGGTCGGCTGGAAGCCATGGAGTAGCATCGCCCAGTAAAGCTCCAGCGTCTTTTCGATATGCCCTCTTTGAGCATACATAACAGGCACTGCGTTCCACGAGCTGGAATCTCTCTCGGGCATTGTGGCGAATATCCGCCCAGCGTCTTGGAGGTCGCCCGTGTGAGCGAGGACGGTGTTCCACGTCACCACGTCCACATCAGGCATTGGCGCTATCGTGGCAAACTGGTTCAGCTGCCCCGCGTGCGCGAATGTCGCCAGCATGGCGTTCCACGTCACAGTGCTCGCGACGGGCATGCCACGGAACAGGCACTGGGCGGTATCCAGGTGGCCGTTCCGTCCATACGCCGCCAGCATGGCGGTCCAAGTCACGACGTTGGCGGCAGGGATGGAACCGAAGACGTGCCTCGCGTCTTCCAGCAGCCCGTTGCGCGCGAATGCCGCGAGCATTGCCGTGCACGAAACCACGTCCCATTCCGGCATGGAATCGAAGATTCGTCGCGCGGCGTCGATAAATCCGCGCTGCGCGAGCGCCGCGATGATCAGATTGCACGCCGCGAGGTCGCGTTGGGGCATGGAATCGAACAGGGCTTTCGCCGCGCCCAAATCCCCGGCCGCGGCAAATGCCGAGATTAGGGCTGTCCACGTCACGGGGTCCCTCGCAGGCATGGACTCGAACATACACGTGGCGGCCTCCAAGTGGCCGGCAGTGACGTGGGCACACAGCATGGCGTTCCATGTCACGATGCTCGCGCACGGCAGGGAATCAAACAGTGCCTTGGCGGAATCAAAATCCCCGTTACGCGAGAAGGCCGTCAAGACGGCGTTGGCGGCGACGAGGTCGTGCTCTTCCATGTCGCGGAAAAGGCTAAGGCACTCTTTCACATTCCCGCGCCGGCCGTGGGCGGCGATGGCGCTCGTCAGCGACGATCGGCTCCACTCCGGCATGGAATCGAAGAGCTCGAGCAGGGAATCGAGGTGCCCCACCCGGGCATACGCATCCAGCAGCGAATTCATGGCGATCACGTCCCAGCACGGCATCGCGGCGAAGATGGCTCGCGATTCCTCTAGATCGCCGGCGGTGGCGTAGGCGCGCAACATTGTGGTCCAGGACACAATGTCCCTGTCGCCCATGCGATCAAACAGTGCCTTGGCGTCGCGCGAATGCCCTAGCCGGGCGAATGCCGCGAGAATCAAGTTCCCGCAGTACGGCTCGCACTCCGCCGGCGATCGCGACTCCTCGCAATAGATCCTTGCGGCGCGATCCAGCTCCCCGCGATCGATACACGATTGGATGAGTGGGGCTGCGCTGCCGGGCATTCCCTTCCACAAGAACAAGAACCCAACCAGAGCCGTCGGATCCGCTGAGATCTACGGTGGATAAGTACTGCCAAGAAAAGCCGTTGGATTGATTAAAATCTAGGGTCAAGATTGCCTAAGAACAAAAACTTAGTTACTAGGAGCTCTATCGTACGGCTATCCCGTACGGAACGTGAATCCTGGCCATCCGATTTGCGCACGCTCCAATCAGTTCTTGCAAGAGATGGGCGTCTTGCTGTGGCAATTTCTTCTTCTTCGCCTCCTCTCCACACGATTCCAGCGAGGAATTGGAATGTGGCTGGTGCGCTGCCACCAGTGGAGCTGCTGGCGCTGGCTCTGGATCGACAATGGCTCTGGGAATCGCTGGAGAAATCGCGGCGGGAGCGATCGATTTGGGTGCCAGAGGAGAAAGAGGGGCGATTGGTTTGATGGCGGGAGGAGCCGCGGGGGCGATAGCAAGAGGAGATTTCTCGACGATTGGCAAGGCCGCGCATGAAATCGCCGGTGCAACCACACTGATTTCCTCCTTGCGCTCGGCGGTTTTCGCGATTTTCTCCTCGGATTTGGGGCGGACGATCTGGAGCACAAGACGCCCCTGCTCCCGGAATTTGTGAACGAAGACGATCTGATCGCTGGGAATTTTCACCTCCTGGAGGACGAACCTCCCATTGCTGCGCACCGCCTGGAGCCGGACGCCCCGCACCATCTCATCCGGGCAGCAATCGCTCTTCGTGTTGACGAACTGGACAGCCATCGGCATCGGCGGGGGGAATTTCCTATCCCGCGCGCTGCTGATCGGCGCGCGCCGGGAGGAATCGACGCAGGAGTCGAGCGAGCGAATCAATTCCATCGCTGGAGGATGAGATAAGAGAGTAGAGAGGTCGATCGATCGACCGCAAAGCGTGTGAAGGAACAGAGAAGCGCGCTTCTACTGGAAATGGGAGGAGGAAAAAAATATGGTGATGCTGTGGATGAAAAGGGGAGGGGGGGTTTCTTTATATACAGGTTTCTCTGCCGTTAATCTAAGCCCATTTGGGGTTAGGTTAAGCTAAGCTAAAGTAACGAACGCCCGCCAAGTTATTTTTAAAAAATTTGTGCATTTCGCGTTGAGGGTGTGCGACGTGAAGTCATATCTCTAACGCCCCATCTTATCCACAACGGTTTCGTGGTTAGAATTTTCACCCGCGAAGTGAAAAATATGGGATTTAACCGCAGAATTTTGTGGAATTTACTGGGATCCATATGAATTAAATATTATTAAACGAGGGTACCGGATGTCACGACACAGTGATGGATGCCGCGGAATATCCACTACATGAACGGGACATGTTGTAGAATCCATGCCTTGGATTCAAAAAAACCTCGAAACCCAAAGTTGTGCTCCCCATTTTCTTAAAGGCAAACAGGATCTTTGAGCTCTTTCTTTTCTGTATTTAATTCAAATATTCAAATTGGGGTTTTTTGAGAAAACATGTCCTCTCGACGTGTCGCTGTTTTGTCCCCGGGAAATCGGATCGTCGCATTCATCAGGTTTTTGCGCACTCGCCTGAATTTGACTCGCATAAAAATCTCAAGATCCGACCCTCCACTCAAGAGTGCAGCGGCAGATTCCAGATTTGGAGCTTCTCCACAGTTTATACGATGCTAAAGTTCCAATTGTAAGGCCCTCCCCCACTACCAAAGGTGTGTGTTCTGCAAACACACCTATAGTTTTGCCCCGGGGCGGGGCGATACCTTTGGTGCTTTTTCTCCCTTTCCAGTGCAGTATTGTCTGATGTGAGACCTGCATTCTTTTTTTTTCCTGCATATTATATTTGTATCTATTATTATATCAACATTTATATTGTATTCTTTCCCAGCAACTAGAACTGCATCCATCTGGGTGTTCCCAATTCCTGTGCAAATGTTTTTGGGGCGGAGCTTTAGCATATTCAGAACAACTGGATGCTGCTTCATGCTTCAAAGTGGGCTTGTAAAGAGCCAATTGTCTTCCCCGACTGTGCTGTGGCATCATCATCATCATTGTTCCTATTATTATTATTGTTCAACTATTATTATAATTATTATAATAATTGATTTGTCTTGTAAAGAAGATGCTTTACTTTGCAAAGATGCCCCCATGCCAGGGCCCCCCCAACAACAAAGGAGGCCTGGCTAGTGGCTCTCAAGAACTGTTCCCCGCCTCCGCCAGCTTTTCCAGTGGCACCGCCCTAATCCACGTCGGAAGAAGATTGGGATTTCTCTGTCGGCCACACTGCCCACGATCGAAGACAGAATGCGTTGTGGAGTGCATCAAAACTTGTGGCAGGCCCGGTTGAGAAAGCCAACATTTGGTCCTCTCTGTGCAAGCTTTATCCCAATTTCACACCATCAAACCACTAACATGGCAACTATACATGTGACACACCATGTGTGCCGTTTCTTACAAATATCCACCCAAAAAATTGCACAAAGATTTTATACATGTACAAAATCTGTACTTGATTAGATTAATTTATATTTGCATCTACAGTGCCTTAGATCTTTCAACAAGTAATACTAAAATATCTGAGATTTTTACGTACCTATAGTTGGTTGACCTCGTCTTGGCATTTTGAGGTTTGGTTCATTCCACCACCCATGTTGCATCTCATGTGGCGTTAACTTCACGCATCCAAGATGGGAATGAAATGGATGAATGCGAGGGTTACATTGCAGAGCTCTTTTGGAACGATTCAAGTTATAGGCGCAAAAGCAGTGGGATTTCTTTCTGTCTTTACTCTCTTGTGGATCCAATCCAACCAGCAAAACTATAATACCGACCGGATCACGGACTCTGGCCTGCTTAGGAAACTGTGATGTGTGTCGTGAAGAGAAGAATATATTAAGAATTTCCACTTTTCTTGCTGTTGGAGACAATCACCATTGAAACTCGATCACATGAGTCGTCAGTGTCAGAGAAAACTTGAGTCTGAGAAGCGTGAACATGGTTCAAAGATCCCCTTTTTTGGCGCAGAGCCTCTTTGAAAGTGACATTTTAGATGCCGCAAGTTAGTCGCGACAAAACAAACAAAAGCAGGCCATGGGAGAGGAGAAAAGATGCCCTTTTGAGTTGGGAGGAGCTGGCCTGCAAAGAGGCCCAATAGTTTTCTTGTTTCCTTTCTTCTGTTCCTTTGACAAATGCAAGCGTTGATCCATCACCCATCACTAGTAGTTATCTTTTGGCGTTTTTTTTGTATTCCTTTGACAAATGCGGTGATCCATGTAGTCAACCCCGCCTTCTTGATGCTTCTAAGTTCCTTTTCAATGTTGGGGAGAAGATTCGATGGTTTCTAAGTTGTGGCGAATATTCGAGTGTAAAATATACCTTTGTTTGTGGTTCCAGACAAAAGCACACACGCATATAAGGAACAGTAGATTCTCTCCCACTCTCTCTCTCTCTCATGAGCAGCCAAAAACAAAACCAAGACGAACGAAAACACGAGCATTCTCCCAAGAGAGTTGCGACGAGTCGATCGATCGAATCGCCAAACTCTCACGAAAATCCAACTCTCTCCCTTTTCTTTTTCACTTCTCTCGCTCTCCCTCGGTCAACCACGGCTATGGACATACCAGCTATTCCACCGGGGCTTCCTCTCCAGCTTGAGCATCACCGCGGCCGCCACCTCTTCCCCGACCCCTCACTTTCATCTGACCACGGCCTGCCAAAGAAGAAAAGAGTGATGTGAGATATAACTTTCCTTAGCTTCGAAACACTCTTCTACCTCTTCCACGGGGAGCTTCAGAGTTTTCTTCGTAGCCAGCAGCACCGTCTGAGACGTAGTCGGTCCCGCGGCCACGGCCCCGGCCACGTCCTCGGCCCCAACCTCTTCCACGCCCGCGTCCTCGAGCTTCACCGGCGGGATACTCAGCAGCTGGGGCTATACCATTCCCAGATTCTAAGCAAAAAAACAGAAAAGAACTTTCATCTCATAATCGTGACTAATCTAATTCATACCTCTTCCTCGGCCTCCCCGTCCACGACCACGGCCACGGCCCCTTCCACGCGGTGGTGCGTCTATACAATGCAGGAGAAAGATCAATATATAGACAGCAAGAAAAGTCCAGCATCATACCTGCGGCTTCAACATAGTCGAAATCTATGTTTGGTTTCACTTGATCCGGGGAGAGTGGAGGCTGATACCTGTGATTTAAAAAATTGCAATGCTTACAGCCAATGTTACAGGGATAAGGTGGTTTTCATACCCGATGTTGGCAGTATCCAGCTCCTTCGTAGAAAGCGTGATGGTGATCATTGAAACGTGCCGAGTGGTTTCTAGCCTGCAAAAGAGAGAATAAGAACTTTTCAGACTTCGCAAAAAAAGTAGCATGGAAAAGCTGCGCTACACTTACGTTGTCAGGCCCTCTTCAAGTGGCTCCCAAACATCCGTGATATCAGTGGAGCCGATGAAAGTGATCTGATGCAGACCGGCAATCCTTCGCTGGAAATGGAATATATATTACAAAAAGAACACAGGATAATACTACAAACCTTGATGATCTCGGCGATGTTAACGGTCTTGTTGATAGCACGACCCATGGCCTTCAAGACGATTTCAGAGGCTCCCTTGTCCTGTAAAGAATGGAGCACAACCATGAAAAGGAATATAAAGAATAAAAAGAGAGATCTATCTATCCATACCTGGAGAAGGTTGGTCGCGTAAGTGATGTAGTTCCTCATCTTTCCCTGGGTGGTAATGCGAATCTCATTCTCGCTAATTGGAGTCTCGGGACGAGGTTTCTCCACTCGCTGGTAGCGATCCATATCTAAAAGGCGGGAGACTTACGAAAAAAAAAAACGAAAGAAAGGACGAAAAAACAAAGAAAAACGAATGCCAAAATGCGGAAAAAGAATCAAAAGAATCGTAGCCGCTGTAACTTTTCTTCTTCACTCAACCAAAAAAAAAAAACGGGGCAATGTAGGATAAAGGAACACAAAACGGTGGGAAAAAAAGAGGAGAAAAAAAAAGAAGAACGCGAGCTGGGGAAAGTGGCACTCGAATGAAAAGCGTGGAACACACAGGCCACGGATTGACAAACCCTAAAACGCCCAAATCGCAGTGGAGGAATGCCCTGGCTGCGCTACGCTCTTTCCAACCTTGCCTTTTCGTCGCGCGCGCTTCGTCCGCCCCGTGCTAATTGCGGCTTTCGTGACGGCGCGAAGGGAGATCTTTTCCCAGCTCTCTCTCTCCTGCTCGCCCTAAAACGTACGGACGATTTAACTCAACGCCGGTACGGCTAGATCATGGCGTCGCGTTGGTCACACCTGGATGGCTGGATTCTTTGCACGAGATCGTGCCACGTAGCCCGCTCGTTCTATGTCGCTTTCTTAATTCCCCATTTATATGTAATACGAACGAACGAGGCCAACAATGCGATGCATGGAGGAAGAAGAAATCTCTTCTCTCTTCTTTGTTTCTCTTTGAACTCTTTTTTGATCGCCTCGGTCGACTCAAGCTCAAACCGCGCTCGCTTTGATCACTGGCACTCTCCTCCGACCCGAGACCGTCTCCTTCAATCGAGCGATCTGGAAGAGAAGCTGGCTGATTTTCTGGAAGCCAAAAAGTGCGTGTGTTAAGATTGGATCTTCTCGAGCGAAAGTGATCCATCACAGGCAAGGAATCAGCAAGCAAACAAAGAAAGTGAAAACACTGAAGCTTCCAGCGCAAAAAGAGAAAATGCGATGCTCGCTGCTAAGAAAAGGAAAAGCAAAGTGCTACCGTAAGATCGCAAACGATCATTGAATCGGAAAAGCAAAGCGCATGCTCGATTCTCGGTGCTCATGCGAAAAACGAAACCAATGATACCAGCCCAAGAACAAGAACTATGCAAAGCAAACCCAGGAATCAAGGAAAGGAGCTTCTAGAAACAAAAAAAATCCAAAGTTTTGAGTGGAAGTACCTCGTCCTTGTAGCAAAGCTGCAAGCGCATCTGGTGGTTTTGCCAGCGCTCGTGCTGCCATCGTTGCCCAATGATCACGAGTCCCACCAGCGCCGCAGCAATCGTGAGAGACCACAGCGTACTCGCCCTCCGGATATAACTCGCAATCTTCTTCTTCCAGCTTCCCCCTATCCTCCCATCCTCTTCTTCTCCAATTCCAAAACCACCACCACCCTCCTCGCCAATCGCCTCGCCCTCCTCCTGTTCTTCCGGTCTCAACACATTCCCGTGAAGATCCGATGGAACCAAAGCGCTAAATCCCGACTCCGACACAATCTCGCGATGCAAACTCGCCAGGGATGATGCCTCCTCTCCTGTCCCTGTCTGGAGGTCTCCTCCCTCGGCAATCCCACCCTCCCTCTTCTCGGATTCTAGGACGGACGAGATGAGCGTCGATAGCAAATCCAAATCGTGCTGCTGCTGCTGCTGCTGCTGCCTGTGATGCTGCTCCTGCTGCCCGGATTCCTGCCGTTCATCAATCACCCGTGACGGCTCAATCCAATCCTTCACCGAGGAGGACGGCGGTTCCCTACCTCGTGAAGATTCTTCCTCCTCCACTGCCTTGGATTCTTGCGCGCATGCTTGCGCCGCCGGCGGGAGAAGGAAGTGCTGGGGAAGAACAGTGATGCCGGCCTCATGCATCTGGACGTCGCAATTCGAGTCGGATAATCCGGAGTCGGGATCCGATGCCACGACCTCCCAGCTTCGGCTGCCACACACGCTCTCCTCCTCCTCGCTGTCGCTGTTGCGGCCGGGATCCATAGCCGGCTCCTTCGAATTCCAAGAAACCCTGGAAATCGGGAGCCAGAGAAGAGAGAAATTTTCACCGATTTCTCGCGCTGCGCCCGGAAAAAGAACGCGAAAATTCTTACCTAGCAGTGGCAGCGCCTCGTCGATCCTCCGCTTTTCGCTCTGGAATCCATGCGCATTGCTCGAGACGGTAGAACTAAGCGCCAAAGGGCAAACAAGCATTAACCAGTAATCCCAAATAATCAACACGTGTCGGAGCGCGAGTGGTGCACGTCCGGCGACGCCTGTGGACCGAAGGACGCGATGCATATGGCAAGCGTGCCCATCTGGGATGGAACCACGTGCCTAGTCTTGCTCCGCTGGATCTCAGATCTTTATACTTGACGGTATAGATTCCCTGGCGAATGGACCAAGATTGATGTAAAAGAAAACATCTATTCGTTAACGGTAATTTTCAACGAGGCATTGATTTCTTACTTTGGCTGCAAGTTAGCACAGTATAATTGTTTGCATTGATTTCTTACTTTGGTTGTAAATTAGCATAGTATAATTTTAATCTCTCGGCAAGTTAACATAATATGATTTTAATCTCTCTCTCTCTCTCTCTCTCTCTAGAAGCTTATGTGGCATGTTGATATTTTCTAACAAACGCTCGCTATCACTTCCTTAGAATCGTTACATATCGTTACAGAGATATAATGTTAGTGCTTTTGCAACTTGGAAGGAGAATGAACCAGAGCAACTTGGAGGCCAGCCCCCTAGAATTTATGGTGTTCCTTTTGAGTTCATGTGCTAGCTTACAGGATTTCCAGGAATGCCTGCAAAGAAAAGCTTCCAAAAGGGGTGAATATGTTCTTCACAGATTTGGATGCCGTCCTACCATTGTTCATCACAAGAAATCCATTTTCACATTTGTCACGTCCAAGCACAGAATTTCGGCATCGCAATCTAGAAGCGATCCAACACTGAAGAAAGTTTGTGGTTAGTTTCACCAACAAAAGTTTTTCTCTTTTTTTTTTCTTCTTACTTCGGATACGTTCGTCCTAGATCTCCGTGAACAAACTCCTTAACGTATGTTCCAGCCTAGAAAGCTGAGATAGTAAACGCAAAGAACCAACTTTGAGTCTGCACCTGAGTACAAAGATGTAGAAGGAAATAGCATGAGCTATCGTGTAGTGCTTCACACCGCATCCTAATACACCAGAAATTCTCTTGTTATCTAGCAATGAAAAGTAAGGAAAGTACTCACCAGTGAATGATTCGCGGACGAACAAGCGGGCTGCGTCTGTGCAGAACTCGTACCGGTGTTTTTTGCTGAATCTCCTGTATTTTGAAAACATTAGATGCACACCAAACAACTTGAGAACATCACAAACCAGCTCTTTCGAGTTGGAAAGGGTTGTAAAGTCAGCCTCTGTGACAGGCCGAGACAACCACACCACTGCCGTGTATTCTTTCTGTAAAACATGTTCATTCAGCACTATTGTCTGGCAAGAACAAAAAAGCCAACCTGCTTGTCCGCCTCACCTTGTCGCATGATCGTCCAAACTTCATTGCCAGCTTCTTTAAGACCTTTTACTTTCACCTGTTCTGCGCAGCCAACACTGGTTAGACGAGAGGCAAGTTGACAACAAAAGCTATACCCATCCATCTTTGTTGGAATTTATGGCATGCTCAAGCTTGAGAAGTTCCTCCTGCTTTGAACATGTGCGTGCATTCAGAATTTCCAAAAGAAATGGTCGTCCACTGCCGAGCATTCGGACCTGACACAGAGCAGAATGAGCAAACCAAAAGCATGAAACAGGTTTCTTTACGTCTATGTCCTCCCTTCCGGCAGCATGGAATTTGTAGCTATCGGCCTTAAAGTGAGGGAATATCACATCGCCTATAATCTCCTGCACCAAGTCGAGGATCAAAACGCTTCTTAACATACGCATGCACTTGCCTGTACAGAACCGTCCCCTATCCTGTCTTCCTGAATTGTCCAAGGGCTCTGGCTGATGCTCCGCGAATACTGTTCAACCACGATATTAAAATGCAGCTTAGTTGATTCAACCAACAATCAAAAACCTTTAGATATCTCCCAACAACAAAAATCGCGTCCTTCCGACAGCTCGAAACCAGCTCGCATGGCGTATCTAACTGCGATTCCACCGGTAAGTTTTTCTACAATGTAAGAAACTTACTTGTGGAGGAGGGCATGGATAATGCCTAGCAAAAGCGTCGGATGATATAGACGCTAGCGAGCGCTGGACGGCTGCAATAGACTCCCCGGCTTCTACAGGACCTTGCGAGAAGACACATCCATCAGATACCAGTAGCCACAGAAAGAGTAACGTTACCCCGCTTTCGTTTAGAATCGCCACCGGACAGATCAGAAAGAAACTGAATCTCCGAGCTTGAGTTCGCATGCTTGAACACTAGAGAGATGTGGAAGTTCGAGTTTTTATCCATGACCTTTCCCTGTATTCACAAATAAAAAACCATGAAAACATACCATGCCAAGGAAAGAGTTCTTTACCAATGCAGCTTCGATTTGTGGGCCAAAAGTCCACTTGACAGCTTCCTTGAGTGAAACTATACATTCGTTTGGATCTTCAGCCTTGAAGTCTTCTGGATGTTCTTTTCTCAAGTAGCACCTGAGAAAAGAAAAGTCACAAAGTCACAAATGCCCCGATCCGAAGAAATAAGGAGTAGCGTACCAAAGAGAACGCTCACGTACTAAAGTTGCTGAAGGCACAGTGACCTCCAAAGAAAAATCGCAAAACTCGTGCCCTTCCTTTTGGATCGCCTCAAGAACAGCCAATCCAACGCCAGCGCTTTGCAAGATCCCCTGGCAAACAGTACAACACGAAGCACTCGATCGATCGCTCTCCAATCCATCGCCATTTCCAATCTCTGCAAGAATAGCGGGGGAAGCGGGCACCGATTGCGAATACACACGGCCGCGCACGCTCAGGAACCTCATCGCGCACAAGGAGCACGCCTACGAGACAAATATTTCGATCGATCTGGCCGCACGAGAAAGAAATCGCTTTACCCCAACGCGCAAGAGATCCCGCAGTGGCGCTTGAGGGAGCGCCAGCAGCGCCTCCCGAAACAAAGCCTCCATCGGCCCAAAACCCTGAATTAGGGTTCTCGGGAAAGAGCACTAAAGGTACTTATTTCACAACAGTTAAATTTCTCTTAAAATAAAGGAGCTCAAGAACCCTAAACCCAAAACCCTAGGAACGATGGTAAATGCGAGGTTTTCGTCGCGGCCTCCATCGTCGCTCGCTCTACCATCGATCGCTCCATCTCCCGCCATCGCCCGACGCCGCACACGCGCAGCTTCTCGCGCTCCACGAATCCGGCGATGCCAATGCGGCCGCGCGCTTCCTCCGTGAGAAGACCGCCGCCGGATCGATCTTCCCGGGCTTCCTCTCCAGCGTCGTCATCGATCGAGCTTGCAAGTCCGGGGATCTGCGCGGCGCTCTGCTCATCCTGGCCACTATGCTCCACTCAGGTACTCCACCTCCAAACCAGCACGCATTTGCATCGCTCATCGACGCCTTGTCCAAATCCACTAGACTCGCCGACGCCGCCAGAGCTCTGGAGCTCATGCGTGACGCTGGAATCCACCCCGACGTGGTCACCTTCACGGTAATGATCCGGGGGTTCTGCAAGAACAGGATGATGGAGCGCGCCTGGGAGATCTTCCAAGAGATGATCAAAAGCAATCGCTGCCAACCGGATTGCTTCCTCTACGGTGTTCTCATCGATGGCTACTGCAAGGAGCTCAGGATGGATCGAGCTCTGGAGCTTCTCCGCGAGATGAGAGTGGAGCGGAGGATCCAACCCGACGTGGTGATCTACAACTCGATCGTCGACGGCCTCTGCCGATCAAACCGGTTCCTGGAAGCGTGGAAGTTCCTGGACGAGACGATGGTTCTCCAGGGATGCTCGCCGACGGTGGTCACGTACACGAGCTTGATCCGGGGTGCTTGCAAGGCCAAGAAGATGAAGCTCGCGGTGAGAATCTGGAACGCCATGCTCGAACGAAAGATCCAGCCAACCATCGTCTCCTACAGCGTGATCATCGATGGACTCTCCAAGGCCGGGAGAGTTTACGACGCGTACCGGGTGGTCCGCGAGATGGAAACGCTCGGCTGCGAGCTCAACGTCGTGATCTACACCACTCTCATCGATGGCCTCTGCAAATCCGGCTTCCTGGACGACGCCTACGCGCTCTACCGGATCATGAAGCGATCCGGCGCGTTTCCAAACCAGCGAACTTACGCCACCTTGATCGACACCTTCTGCCGGAACGATCGAACCGAGACGGCGCTGGGGCTGTTCGATCACATCCGCGACTACTGCCCGCTCGACGTTGCCATGTACACCGCGGTGGTGAGCGGCCTGTGCCGCGAGCGAAGGCTGGACGACGCTCGAGCGCTCTTCCGGGAGATGCGTCTCGCGGGAGTTTCAGCCGACACTCACGCCTACAATGTGCTGCTCCACGGCGCGTTTCGATCCGAGAGGCCCGAGGAGGCTTTCCGGATCTTGGAGGAACTGGGCGATGATCCTGGATGCGTCGCCAACTTGCTGACTTACAACACGGTGATCGCTGGCTGCTGCCTCGAGTCCGGGATGGTGCTGTTCTACGAGATGCGGCAGCGCGGGATCGCGCCAGACTTCGCCACCTACAGCGCTCTCATCGATCGGCTGCTCGGCAGTGGAGAGATCGGCAGGGCGTTTGATCTGTGCGAGGAGATGCTGGCGAGTGGATTGAGCCCGCCGTCGGGAGTTCTCGGGAGAGTGGTGGCGAGGCTGTGCTGGTCGCGCAGGGGAGATTTGGCCGCCAAGGTGATAGAGATGGCGATGGCGGTGGATGACACTGCTTCGTTCTCGCTGCCTTGGGACGATGAAGATGGAGCTGCGCAGGATGAAGATAGCCAAGGAGAAGAGCTTGGATCAATCAAAGATGGAGCTACGCAAGAAGAGCCAGTGCCCTGAAAGAAAAAAAAAAAAAAAGCCGCCTCATGTAAACATTTTTGTAGGAAAAAGAAATTCTGACTGTGCAAATTGTTTCCTAGTCATCCCGTGAGTCGCGGAGGTTGTGCCAAGTAAGCTGGAAACCCTGAAAGAATGGCGCTTGTATCCCTCGGGTTGACTAGTAAATGGGGTCGCTGACCCTTGACCACTTGACCGCCCTCGCCGGTGACCCAGTAAGTCGGTATGGCCAACCCCACCGTGGTCTACCGGATAGCGCTTGGTAGCCAGGGTGGCCAAGGAGGCCCGATAAGTTTTTCGAGAAAAGATGGGAGAACTTTCGCTTGATCGTGATCGCATCGCTTTCAAAAAGGGATTGGAATCCAGCCGGACGTGGTGCTCCTGCGAGGGAACAAAGGATCAAACCAAGTGGGGGAAGAACTGGGAGCAAATCTCTGAGCAAATCCTCTCGATGTTAGTGCGCAAACGTAGAAACCAACCTTCCAAATCGAAGAAGCCCCCAAAACGTTTACAAGAGCTTTGATTCTCTGGAACAGCGCGAAGAAGAGAAGAGAAGAGAAGATTACAGGCAGACAACAAGAAGATGGTGAGGAAAAACTTATTTCCTGGCACTTTTGTGTTCTTGGCGGTAGAGCTTTGCTCCCTCTCAAGCGTTGCCTTCTAAGAACTTCTTCAAGAACTCCGACTCACCCCGGTCGATGATTCCCAGCTTCCGCGGGTCGAAGGATTCCTCCTGGACATACTGCGCGATGAGATGATGTCGCTGCTTGGTTTGCGTGAGAAACATCATCAATTCCTCCAGCCCCTTGACAACGAGAAGATCTAGAGCCTGCATTCCAGGCCAGGATCAAAATCCAGCCCCAATCTAACGAGAAATCTTACCCTGGGATTGGTAATATCCGTCTTCTTCCGGAATTCCTTCATGATCCTGGAGCGCAGCTGCGCGGGCGTCGCCACGCCCTCGATGTTGAAGCACTCCACGATGAAGGGCACTGATCGAACCGATCGGCGATAGAGCTCCAGCACGCGCTCTTGCGCCTCCGGGAGATCCTTGGAGCTGCCGCTTTGGACGAGGCTCTTGAAGCTCATGAGCCGGTCGTAGCCGCGCATACTGAGATACCTCGTCATTGGATAGGATGGATCGATCGAATCGATCGATTCGATCTTGCCCTCTCAAGAACCCTAGAAATATTTTTTCTTTTTTCAAGAGTTATCTCCTAGAACCCTAAAAACCGAGCCTATAGATGCTGTCACTCTCGCCCTTTCTCGAGGAGGAAGAAGAGAATATCGTCCTTTTTTCTTTCCGTGAGGGCTAGAGCTACGCGACGTAGAGAGACCCGAGGGAGAGAGAGCGCCGCGCGATGGCGATGAGGAAGATCCAAGGCGGGGAATCGGCGTAGACGAGGCGCTGCGCTCTGTAATCGTCGCTGGCAGTGTGGGCAATCTTAGGGTTCTTCGTCGGGCGGAGGCGAGGAGAGGCCTTCTTCTCGTCTCTAGGGTCTGAATCTCGACGCCGGAGCTGAAATGCGGCCGTGGAGCTGAAATGCAGCTATGGAGCACGAATGCTGGCATTGTTCTTGGATTGGGAGAGCGCGCGGGGTAAGTTCCAGAGGCCAATGGCTGGGGTTTTGGAGCTCTGTGAGATTCTGGGATTAGGGAGGAGGAGGATGGGAGTAGAATCTAGTGCCAATGATCCTCACGCTGGCCCGGGCTGCTCGTCATCGGCACTAGGCAATGCTAAATCATCAAGAGGATGATCCAGGGACACTCACAGGGACAGATTTTCGAGGTTTTTGGCTCTCTCACACTCTCTCTTTCCATCGGGGCGGGGATTTCTTCCAGCGAAGAATTGGGAGAGGACCACTTAAGAACAGGGAATTCCCACGAGCTTGGGAGAAGCTCGCGCGTTTAGACTGGACGAGTTCCACGAGTTTGAAGACGCTTCCATGACCTTGGAGTTTCTCGCTGGGCATTGGAGAAGATGCCATCTTGGTGGGGAAAGTCGTCCTCCAAGGATGGAGGAGGGAAAAAGGAGAACATCCTCAGCTCGTTGCTATATCCTCCAAAGAGGAGGAAGAACAAGCAGCAGCAAGCCAAGGAAGAAGAGATATGCGTCAAGTCTGTTGGGGCAGCCGAGGCTGCGCCATTAGCTCGGACCTCTCCCTCGGCTGCGGTTGGCCGCTCGGCGAGTTTCGGCGGTCTGCCGTCTCAAGCGCAGCCTCTTCCATTGCCTCCCGGGGAAAAGCACTCGCGAAAGTCGGGCAATGCGGTAATACAGCGGTATCCTTCGTTTCCTCTGCCGCCTCGCAAGGATGGTATTGATATGGAGGTTGGCTACACCGAGTCTGGATCTGCCTCGAGCACGAGCTCTTTGGGAAGCTCGGACGTGGTCGACACGGCGCATGGAACCGTGGCTGCTCGCGTGGGGAATCTCAGAGTGCTCACAAAACCGGATCAGTCGTTGACTTTGTAAGTTCTCGTGTTTGTCTTTCTCTGTTGTCTCTGTTCTGATGTTTTCCTTGGTGGAACCTGTTGCAGCTCCCAAGCACAAACCAGACACGGGGTTTCCTGTCCCACCAGTCCGCACTTACGGAATAATTTCCTCGTGAATGTTCCTGGCGAGGCCTTGACGTATGGAAGGAACCATGGTATCTTGAATGGGACACGAGACAGCTACCTGGTGAGCCCCGTGAGAAGCACGATACTTACAACTGCGGAGATGCTCTCCGCGACGCCGAGATCGCTGCAGTCGACTCCTGATCCTGCCTCTGGTCATGGTTCCAGTCCGGGGTCGGGGCACAACTCAACTGTTGATACTGGACAGACATCGTGGTGCCAAAGCCGTGCTAGTCCGGAGTTGTCTCCAAACCCGAGCCCGAGGAGGAGTCCAGGCCCAAGTTCGAGAGTTCAGAGCCAAGCAGTGTCTCCTCTACATAAGAGAGCTGGCGGGTCCGATCAGGAAAGATATCATCTCGAGGTTTCTGCGCACCGTCTACCGCTGCCTCCTGCTGTTCCTTCTCCGCTGGTGGCTTCGAATTTCCCACCGTCGCCAAATGCGTCCGCAGTTCCTCCTCGCAGTCCAAACAGATCAGATTCTCCTACTACCTCGACGACGAAGTGGCAAAAAGGGAAGCTCATCGGCAGGGGAAGCTTTGGAAATGTTTACGTTGGCTTTGACAGGTGCGGTCACTGTGAGATCTTAAATTCCTGCCTCTTCTAACATTTTTGTTTCAGTGAGAATGTCGGCCGCATGTGTGCCATGAAGGAAGTTCCGCTTTTATCAGACGATTCCAAGTCAAAAGAAAGTGTAAAGCAGCTAAGTCAGGTACGAAGAACTTTGAATGCTTCAAGCTTACAAGGCGATCATTCCTAAACCTTCAGGAAATTGCAACTCTTAGCCGGTTGCGACATACCAACATTGTACAGTATTACGGATCGGAAACGGTAGTCAAGCTCCACTTTGCATTCAAGCATTAACGTTCGATTTTCAGATGGAGGATGGCTTATATATTTACCTCGAGTATGTGTCCGGGGGATCGATTCACAAGCTTCTTCAGGAGTATGGTGCATTCAAGGAGCCTGTGATTCGCAGCTACACGCGCCAGATTCTCTCGGGGCTGGCTTACCTTCATAGCACAAGCACAGTACACAGGTATGCCCCTTCAACTCACCACCATCACGTATTTATAGGCATATTAATCTTTTGAATGCCAGGGACATCAAAGGAGCCAACATTCTAGTCGACACTAATGGAATTGTGAAACTTGCTGATTTTGGCATGGCGAAACACGTACTAAATGTTTTCTCCTCGTTTTTGTCGTTATTGTTGACGAGTGTCTCTGTGTTTCAGCTGAGCGTCGAGTCTTTCCCACTTTCTTTTAAGGGAAGTCCGTATTGGATGGCGCCTGAGGTTCGTGTTTCTTTTTCAAGCACGAGTCGGCTCGTCTTACTGGAGTACTTTCCAGGTGATCAAACAAACACATGGATACGATCTCTCTGTCGACGTTTGGAGCCTTGGCTGCACGGTTCTGGAGATGGCGACAGCAAAGCCTCCATGGAGCCAATATGAAGGGGTCAGTTACCCTCGTCCTTCGCTTTTCCATTTCTTCTGCTGCTAATAGTTACTTCTCTCTCAGATAGCAGCCATGTTTAAAATCGGGAACAGCAAAGAAATCCCATCCATACCGGAGTACCTGACTAGAGAATGTAAAAACTTTTTGCGGCTCTGCTTGCAGAGGAATCCGGCAGAGAGGCCCACCGCTACATTTCTGTTGGGGCATCCTTTCGTGTGCAATGCGCCTCCAGTATGTACTCCAGACGATCGATGCGATATAGCTGCAAAGGCGAGCACATTTGTCGGCTCTCTGGTACGTTTTCAAGCACATTTTTCTTTCTGAAAATTATATTTATATCTCTCTTCTAACTCTGCCGAAGGCCATCGGGAGTCGCATCCACGAATACGATTCAGTGCTGCATCCGAAAACAATCCTACACTCACCAACCAGGTTGGTGCTGCAGGCCTAGAAATGTTTTTCTTTGTTTCTTTGATGTGATCTTTTACTTTGCAGCGAGCAACTCTCTCCCCGTGCTCAAGGATTTGCATCGTCGTCAGTGTCTCCTTGCGCCAGCCCGAAAATCAGAGCCCTGTCACCTCACCACCTCCACCTCGGAATATCATCGTCACAGTCGTCGTCACCGGTTATCAGCTCGGGCTCTTCCACGCCTATCACTGGGGGCTATGGCAACGTACCACGCTCAGCAAACGGCAGCTTTGGGGTGCCCACGCTACACAACGAGCACCACAACTTCCAGAAGCTAGGCCTCACAGGTGGAAGCCCGGTTCGAAAGAACGGGATGTGGAGCATTCCTCCGTCGCCTCCGTTTGAAGGGAGCCCGAGACAGGGAAGTCCGAGGCAGGGAAGCCCGAGACAAAGCACGGACATCCTGGGCATGGCACTGGGAAGAGTCCCCCGCGAGGACGATGACTACCATGAGCACTTCTCCCAGCAGCTACTCCGATCACAGCAGATGTTCCCACGCACTTACTTTCATCACGGCCATCCTGAGAAACGCGAGCCGAGTCACTGACTGACGCGTAAGTTCCATCTTTTCGCAGTGGAAAGCTCTTGACTCGTTTGGTTTTCTTTTTCTTGCTTCCACCAGGCTTGGAACTCGTCGCCATCTTTAACCAGCTCAACGGAACACAAGTGATCGTTTAACAGACGTTTGTTTATCTCGCTTGGATCGTCCACAGGGTTTTCACGATTCAGTCCCAATCTCGTAGGATAAAGTGCCAAAGTGGCTGCGACTATACACGATTCATCCCCATCAGATAAGAAGCAAAATCTGATCGACTTTTTATTTGTACTAACACCTTGATTCAACAAAAGAGAGCTTTTATCAGTGGTGAAAACGATGCGAGCGAGCGAGCGAAGCCTTAGGTGTGTTGTTAAACTTCAAGAGAGAACGCGAGTATCATCAAACTGGAGCTGGAAGTTTTTGGAGAAGAGTACGCGCCATCCTAGGGAGCACGCGAACAGGCAGCTCAAAGCCGAGGCGCCGAGTAGCATGTACAGGACCTGGATTTGCATCTGGACGGCCTCGAGCGGAGACGAGCCTCCCATGAGCATTCCCGTCATGGAGCCAGGCATGGAAACCAGGCCGACGGTCTTGAGGGAGTCCACGATCGGTCCCATTCCTTGGAGGATTGCTCGGCGAATGTAGGGGTGGACTGCCTGCGCGGGAGTGGCACCCAGCGCAAGAGCCAGTTCTATCTGATCCATCACACGAACGAGAATCCAAAGGTAAGAAACAAAGGTGATGGTAAAGAAAACATCCACTCACTTGTCCCTGGTGGACGTAGATGTCGTGACGAAGCCTCTCCAGTGTTGTTCCAACGATGCTCATCGAGTTTCCAATCACATATCCGGCAGTCGGGACGATATACCGGGCTTTGAATTCGTAGACTCTGAGGAGAAGCATCAGCGCCAGCGTCCCGGCGGCGCCGACTGCCAGTGACAAAGTCGCCACCATTCTGCTCTTGGGAAGCTCCTTGGATCGCTTACCGGCAGTATGTCCAGAGACCAGGATCTGATCCAAGAAAACCATGAAGTTTGTAAAAGGAGAAGGCAGGAAATTACCATGAAGAGGATGGCGAACGAGCACATGTAGATCTTCTCGCCCTCGAAGATGAACTTGAGAGCGTAGCCGAGGCCCACAAGTTGTATCGACGACCGGAAAATCGAGACGAGGATATCGCCCTCGAATCCAATCCCGAGCTTGTGCGAGACCGCGACGGCTAGCGCGACTGGCACAAAAGTTCCCACCAAGCGTCGGCATTCTGGCGATTGGAACGATTCCTTGAGCGTGGTGGCCAAGCTTGGAAGCTGCAAATGAGGAAACGATTTAATCAAAAGTAAAAAGAGAGCGAGAGAGAGAGAGAGAACAAACAACAAAAAATCATTCTTCCAGTCCAGTCCAATAAAGAAACATATTCTTCCAAAACGAAGGAGCTATGATCTTGTGGCTATTTCTCCCTTTTCACGCAAGGAAATAAAAAACAATGCCAGAGACAGACAAAATCTCACGACACGATCTGGCATTCAAGACAGGAATCGACACACGGCAGCAACGAAAGAGGAATCAGACACGAAAGGAGAGCGCATTGGATCCAGCAATCCATCAAAGCAAACTCACATGGAACACGCAACAGCATCCAAATCGCCGACGGCGCCAACAGCGGCTTCCATCTCCTCTCTGGCGCCGTCGCGCTTCCTCCAATCGCCACGAAATATTTCGCCCTAGAAGCGCTCCACAGTGAGGCAAGAGAATGCCCGCCATTTATCCATTCATCCCAACGAGGACAGGTCACAGGTTCGAATTCCAGCTTAGGGGTAAAAGTAATTTTAGGGTTCTTCGTTAAAGAGGAAGAAGACGACGATGGCGATCGATTTCTTCTCGCTGGCGCTGGTGCTGCTCGCCCTAATCCACGGCCAAGCCATGGATCTCTCGATCGGCACTGGCGGCAATGACACGATGACTGCGCAGGATCTGCTGGAGCGCAATGGATTTCCAGGGGGCTTGCTGCCCAGCAACGTCGAGGGCTACACGCTCGACAACAGCGGCCGATTCGTGCTCAAGCTCGACGCCAAATGCGACGTGACCATCCCGGGCGCGTATCCGGTGGAGTACAGGGCCAAGATCGAGGGATTGCTGTCCTATGGATCGATTAAAGATCTCTCGGGAGTTTATGTCAAGGTGTTATTGGTGTGGTGGGAGCTGACTGGGATCTACATGGAGAACGAGAAGGTTGTGTTCCAGGTGGGAATTCTCTCGGCCTCTTACCCGGCTTCCAATTTTGATGAGAGCCCCGACTGTGGCAGTAAAGCATCCTCCTCCTCCACGACTCTAGATCGCTCCACTCACTAAAATCTCTTCATTCTTCTTCCTTCCTATCGATCATTGTATTCTTTTCTTTGTCCTACTGTTCTTCGTTGCCTATCGATCATCGCATTCTTCTCTTTGTCCTACTGTTCTTCGTTGTTTATCGATCATCGCATTCTTTTGCTTCTCTTCCCTGTTCTTCGTTTCTTTGGTTTTTGCTAGCAATCCTTTTGCTCCGCGAATTTCCTTATCGCTGATCGATCGCTATACAAAGTTCGAGATGATCTTCTTCGTTCTTTCTTTGTCAAGCCTGGATCGATCTACAGTACTTCTTTTACTTGGTCGTTTCTTCTCATCATCGCATTCTAAATTCTTTCCTTCTATCGAACTTCTTTCGCTAGAAAAATTTCTTTGTAAGCTTCCTTTCGATGATGAAAACATTTCCACTGTATAAAACAAGAGCAATAATATAAAAAGAAATTTCCTCTTGCTTTCCATTGGTCAGCAAAAGTCAATTTCAATCAAAGCGCCAACAGTTCAATCCACGTGTCAACCTCGCAATCCCGACACGTAGCAGCTGCCACAAGCCTCCACGCGTCCGGCTACGTGGACACGTGTAGCCGTGCATGGCGCTAGTCGCTGCCTTGCCAACACGTGACACCTCGCGGCAGTTCTTGAAAAGAGGCCGACGAACGTTTCGCAAGCACATCGTTTGCCCAAAAGTTCTATCGTTCTCTCTCTAGGAAAGGAAAAAGGAGTTTAATCTTCGCCCTCGCTCACGCAAGCAAAGCTATAGCTATGGCGGATCAGGCAAACAAGGTGAAGGAGGCCGGCCACGAGAGCGCCGATAAGGCCGCTCAGCACACCAAGGTTTGTGTGGATTTCTTTCCTGGATCCCAGAAATCTGCCATCTTTGCAAGATCTCTAGCTTGTAGATCATGTTCTTCGCGATGTTTCTTGTCCGTCCCTGATCTTTCTTGGGATTTCGTTTTTACTTCTTTCTTTCGGTTCTACTCTACTCCTGTTTGATCCATGTTTTCCATCTCCAGCACTTTGCCACCTTGGTCTTGTGTGTGCTTTGAAAAATTCTACAGTTCTCTCGATTGATCTTATCATTTCTTCTTTTGGAATCTCTCCCAGGGCGCTGGCCAGAAGGCAAGCGATACCACTCACGGCTTGGGGCAGGCCGCCAGCGAGAAAACTCACGCCGCCATGGATCAATCCAAGGGAACCGGCCAGACGGCAGCGGACAAGGCTCGTGCCACCAAGGATACCGCCGCGGACAAGGCATATGCCACCAAGGACACGGTGGCGGACAAGGCATATGCCGCCAAGGACACGGTGGCGGACAAGGCCTATGCCGCCAAGGACCAGACCGCGGCCACCGCGAACCAGGCGGGTGACAAGACCAAGTCGGCCGCGGACGTGGTGACGGAGAAGGCGTACGCGGCCAAGGATACGACGCAGGATACGGCGTCGGGATACATGCAGTCGGCTACGGATGCGGCATACGCTGCCAAGGATCAAGCTGCCGGACTCGTCCAGAAGGTAAGCAAAAAGATTCTCTTCCAAGATGTTGCGTTTCTTTGGTCGTGTTCGCTTGGTTTGAATAGATATTTGCTAGAGTTGTTAGGTTCGCTCGTTTGGTTTCTCAATTCTCGCTCTAGTCTTTCATTTTCGATCTCTAAAGTTGGTGGATTGTTTGGCAGGCTACCGATACTGCGAAGCAAGCTTACGAGAAGACCAAGGAGACTATCGGTCTGGGCGGTCCCGGGAACAACACCAACGCTCCTCTGAGCGGTAGCGGTAACAACACCACTCAGTAGTCTCTCATTCAGCAGCAGCACACGGGAAAAAAAGAAAAAAGAGAAGGAAAAACGGGATATTTGGACAATCGTCGTCGTCGCGTTTTTTTATTTTTATTTTTTTGTTCCCTTTTTAGTGCCAGTGAGCTGGGGATCTTCCAGTCACTGTTTTGAAAAAATTGGAATCCAAGGAATCTTGTCGTTTCATTCATTGTTCGTGGCGAGTTTCTTTGGAACGAGATTGCCACATCGGTCTTCGCCATTGACGCGATAGAATGATCTACAGTCCAAACAGGTCGAATTTTCGATTTTCGAAAAATACTGCTACAGAAGTTCTTAGATTCTCAGTTAGAGAAGAGAGGCGTCGCGCTGCGGCATTCGATCGAAGACCTCACAGTAAGTCCGCGATTGAAGAGATTCTTGGCGAAAAAAAAGATCGCCTCTCTGGAATCAACAGATTCGAAAAGATTCCGGCATGAGGTTTATTCCAGCTGCGTTTAGGGTTGTTTAACCATTATCGAACGTGCCATGAATCTTCCAGTTTTTAGGTTTGGAAAGATTGCCGGATGCTCGCCTTGCGGTTATTTCCAATGGTTATCTATGCATTATACGCATTCATCGTGATATAAATAATTTTAATTCCCTAGAGCAAACATTCAAAGTCATCCATGTGCACCTGAGAACGTGTCCCGCTTTTTCAGAAACCAGGAGACTGAAGAAATTTCTCCTCACGGCAAAGCATAAAAACCCAAACCTTTCAGATAACTTATAACACAAGAGAGTGATCGAGAGTTTCAGATCTCCAATGGCTTTGAATACATTCCTTGTAGCTCTCACATTTCTCTCCTCAGCTCGCATCTTCTCTCTTGTGGAAGCTGCCGACCCCGATCCACTCCAGGACTTTTGCATCCCCAGCAACACCTTGATCGAAGGCTCTCCCTGCAAGCCATACTCCCAAGTCACCTCCAAAGACTTCTACTCGAGCCTCCTCCGCACCAACACCGATACTACAAACACCCTCAACCCTCTCTTCAACTTCTCGCAAGCCATCGTCACCACTTTCCCGGCTCTCAACACCATGGGACTGTCCATGGCGCGGATCTATCTCGGGCCCAAGGGTGTTGCCAGGACTCATACTCATCCCCGGGCGAGCGAGCTTGTTTACGTCGAGAAGGGTGTTGTGGAGGCTGGCTTCGTGGACACGAACAACAAGCTTTTTGCCCAC